CAAATATTTAAATGTTTAGATGAATGCTAATAGGATTGTATGACAAGAATGCATGACAAATTTAATACAATTAGAAAATCCTAATGTGCAAAGACAAATAACTGAAAATAGATCACTCGCACATATCACTCTTAGGGTATACTCACACTTCGGTTGCCTTCGATAAATGATCATTAAGTATAGGGTGTCTTAGTGGTTGCCCTTCTGTCTAAAAAGATCAAGTGTCCCGTTCGAATTTTGCCTCGGAAATGTTGCCTCGGAAATGTTTCCTCGAATATGATCTTAAGACTCTAGGGTCATTACTAAGGTGTCCTAATATTGCTTTAGTGATCGTACGTCCCTTTCGAATTGACCCTTACAACTCTAACGACGGTGCTACCTATTTCTCAATAGTAGGATAGCACTGTCTAAAGGAAACGAGAATAGAAACAATCTTTTTTCGAAGCAGCCCTACTATCCAGACTTTCATATCGAAGTAACCCTACCATCCAGGTTCCTTCTCACAGCCCTGCTATCCAGGCTTTCATATTGAAGTAACCCTACCATACAGGTTCCTTCTCATAGCCCTACTACCCAGGATTTCATATCGAAGTAAACCTACTATCCAAGTTCCTTCTCACAGCCCTGCTATCCCGACTTTCGTATCAAAGTAACCCTACTATCCAGGTTCCTTCTCACAGCCCTACTACCCAGGCTTTCATATCGAAGTAACCCTACTATCCAGGTTCCTTCTCATAGCCCTGCTATCTCGGATTTCATATTGAAGTAACCCTACTATCCAGGTTCCTTCTCACAGCCATACTATCCAGGATTTCATATCGAAGTAACCCTACTATCCAGGTTCCTTCTCACAGCCCTACTATCCAGGCTTTCATAACGAAGTAACCCTACCATCCAGGTTCTGTCTCAAAGCCCTACTATCCAGGCTTTCATATAGAAGTAACCCTACCATCCAGGTTCCTTCTCACAGCCCTGCTATCCAGGCTTTCATATCGAAGTAACCCTACCATCCAAGTTCCTTCTCACAGCCCTATTATCCAGGCTTTCATATCGAAGTAACCCTACTATCCAGGTTCCTTCTCACAACCCTACTATCCAGGATTTCATATCGAAGTAACCCTACTATCCAGGTTCCTTCTCACAACCCTACTATCCAAGATTTCATGTTAAAGTAACCCTACTATCCAGGTTCCTTCTCCTAACCTTACTATCCGGGTTTTCTTCCTCTTTTATCCCCAGACAGCAGTCCACAGAACTGTAAGACCTGGACCTGATCAAACTTTCACATTTCCCTAGAAAGTCGCGGTGCAGCATATACCTCGACCAAACACACAGTTCACTTCCACTTTCCAAACCAGAATTATTCCCCCAGTAGAGTAACTGACAACTAAAGCTCCTAAAACTCTATTTCTCTCAAGACAAAGACCAACATTCCCGAGCGAAGTCCTCCTCAATAGCAGGTATACGGGTTCTCGCAAAGGAATCTCTTGAACAATCGACATATCTTCGGATGGCATCTCTAAGCCCATCTCCAAAAATTCTCTAGCAACTACCAAATGGCCTCTACAAGCCCATTCCTGATATCACAAATCAAGTATCACTTCATGCGAGTGCAAAGGGTTTAAAATTAGGGTTTCATTTTGCATCAAGATACTTGAGTCCAAGGGATCCCAAATTCTCACAATTTTCCTAATATGTTCTCAAGATCATTCATGTCAACTTTCAAGCATTGCAGAAGAAGTTTGCTCAATCAATTGCTCAAAGGCCTGAAAATCGACTATGCTAGGTCAAAAGTCAACTATGGCCCACATACAGTCAAACTTTAATATTTTTGGTTAACATCCTCATTTTGAAGTATCATTAATCATTTTATCAAGGTTTGATCATGATTCATCAAGGATTGCTCACAACTCATCAAAACCCAAAAGTTGCTAAATTAGGGTTTAGCAGGAAAAGTCAACTCAACTTTGACCAAGCATAACTTTCTCATACTTTATCAGAAATGACCCATCCAAAGATCATTTTAAAGAGGATACAATTCCATACAATTCATCTTCATCTCCCAAGTTCAAAACATAAACTCACAAAAAGATATGAATTTTGACATTATAGGTCATTTTGAAAAGTCAACAAAAACACCTTTTGGGTCAAAGCTTCATACATGAACATGGAAGAATCAATTGAGATGAGACCAAAAGGGTTGCTTAGAGGACATCCTAAGATTTCTAAAAAGTCCAAGAATACCCTACTAGGGTCAAAATTGAGAGAGATATGCATTGTCAAAGTTGGCAATTTTTGGGAAATTGTCAAAAGTCAACATTGATCAAAATTGCATTTTTTCCACACGGGCCCATCTTCTTAAGATTGCATCTCATTACTAGCATAGTCCACGACCTATGGGACCCTCCATGCTTTATTTATTTATTTAATTTATTTTGATTTTTATTCACTTAAAATTCAAATAAAATCAAATAAATCTAAATAAATCATATAATGTGTTTTAGGGATAATTTTTGCATCGAAGGAAGATCTTATAATAGAGATGAATGCGAAGTATATTGTTGCATGATAGTGTCTCATTCATTCATAAAGCGAAAGCCTGTATTGGCGAGCGAAGACCTGTATTGGCGAGTGAAGTTGATTGCCCTAAATTGGCATTATTATGAAGAGGGTTCTACCCTGATTGATACCATATGCATTGCATTAGTGTCAGTCCTTGCATCATATTGTGATTGATAAACGGATGGGCGAAGATTGATGAAAGTGTGTATTATATTATGATGTATATTCTGTGCCGATTATATACTTGAATCTTATCTGCTTATTATTATGTTTTCTATTATATTGTTATGACATCTCACCCTTTCTGTTTGAATGTTACCTCCACGTGGGTAACGTGTAGATGATCCGAAGTAGCTAGAGATCGAAGGTTAGCTAAGGAGTTCCTTTAATTGCGTAGATTGAGTCGGTGTCTACTCTGATACAAAACACTTTGGGGTTTCGCGTGATTTGTTTTGTTATGCTTAGGAGTAAACATGTATTACTCTTTTATTTGAATTATTTTATGATTATGTTGATGTGTGAAGGATAATAATTATAACTCCGGTTGGAGAATCGAGATGACTATTTATTGATGTTTTCCATTGTGAATAAATGCATTAAAGTTTAAGACTTTTGATTATACGATTTGTGTTGCGTATCCTAATTTGAGCATGTATGATTGACGAAGTATGTGACATCCTATTTGATTGATGTTTATTTAGAAATTAAATTACTCTGACTATTATATAAATTACCGACGGGGAAATAGGGTGTTACACGGTGAGGGAGAAGGAGGAAGAGATCTTTAACTTTTTGCTTCTTGTGACTTTTGCCTCTTGAACCTTGAGAGAAACTAAGGGAGAATAGAGAATTCTTTGTGTGATTTTTCAATAATGAGGAAAAAGTTATGGTCAATTTGAATATAAAAAATATATAGAAAAGGCTCCAAGGCTTGTTTGACAAGTGTATTTTTGACTAATGCATAATTTTTAGGCTTATTCAATTGCACGGCTCAAGAAAAAAGCAAAACTCATGACATTTGATGCATAATCCTGATGCGCAACTTGAAACAAAAACGTCGATGACGAAATTTGTGACGCCGTGCCGAAAGAATCGCTCCAATACAATAAAAATTGAGCGAGTTATGATTCGTTGAATAACGAGAAACGATTAACGAAAAAATCTGTGCAGATTTTTCAACTTGTTTTTGTGTGCGTTACGAGAAAACCCACAAGGTCATCACTTTCGGTGCATAATTCCGATGCACAACCTGAAACAAAAATTTCGATGATGAAATTTGTGACGTCGTGCCGAAAGAATCGCCCCGATACGATAAAAATCGAGAGAGTTATGAATTTCGCAATGGCAAGAAACTTGATACAGAAAACCCTCTATGCACATTTTTCAGTATATTTCGGTGTACGACTTTGGAAACAAGTCATAAACCAAAGTCTTCTGAGCATAATCCGAAATCGAGCCCTGAAGAAAACTTGTAACTAACACAATATTTGATATGTTTCCGAAATAATCGTCTCAATACGATGAAAATTGAGAAAGTTGTGATTTTTGCAATATTGCAAAACAGTTGACCAAAAATCCGCTTCAGCATGCGATTTTCACCATATTTTTGCAATTTCCGAGATCTTCTTCAAAGAATTAGCTCCTAACTCGAACATACAAATTGAGATGAACATGCATGGCAGATTTTATGCCCAAAGAACCATTCAATAATGTCGAACCAGGTGGAAGTTATGAATTTTTGAACATCTGATAAACAACGGATCAACACACTGTTTTACCGCACCATTTTCAGGTGATTTGTATTTTTTGAAGTCTTCCTCACCGAATCAGCTTCTGGAACCATATATGAACTGAAGAAAATACCAATCTGGTTCAAATGCTCCAAGAATCAATCAAAGATGATTTTCTGGTCAGAAGTTACAAATTTTTGAACATCCGAACAAATAATTAATCAGCAAATCCACTATATATCGTGACTTTTGGTATTTGCACTTTTGAAGATCTTCCTTAAAAAATTAGACTTCGACCTGAATAGATGAATTGGGGAAGATAACAAGACGTTTCTAATTCCTGAAGATCCATTCCTAAACCTTTTTCCAGTCAGAAGTTACAGATTTTAACCTCGAATCACAAAATACTGAATTTCGGTCTGCACTGTCTCAAATCAACTGAAATGTTTGACTTTGTGTGCAATTCAAAGTGTGATGGAACATACGAGAGCTTGGCATGATGATGCCTTGATTAATTGCTGATTGAGTAACTCAGAAAAATATGCGGAATGCGCTTGGATTTTGAAAATCCTGAGTTTTCTGCTTTGCTGTACTGTCTGACGAAACAATTGCTTTGTAGTTTGACACAAATAAATGCCTTGATCCCGTAACCATGGAATCGATGATATGTATTCACGAGTATGTTAGAGAAATATAATCCAATTAGAGTTAGATTGAAAATGACGAATTTCGAAGTACAACAATATGAAATGACGATGTCTCTGAATACCACCTATCCACAAATGAAGATATAAGATCGGGATCAATTATCTTTAAAGTAGCTCTTTAGAGTGAAGATAGCCTAAAGTGATCCAACCAACTCTATCACATGTGGAAGATATAGTGAAACTCATTATAGTAGTTTACTCTTATGTGTTGCAACCTTTAATTCATTCTTTATATCATGTTTCTAAAATCAATTTAAAGTATACAATATAAAATAAAAATAATTATTAAAATTAAATATTATTTAACCCAATAAAAAGAAATACTTACTTTTCATGCCATAATCGGCGAGCAACATGATGCTCGTACTGTACAAGAAAGAGACATGTCATACAACCCTTCTCAAAAATAATGTTGTTGCTCAGGTGGACCTTGCTTATCTTGTTGTGCTTCCATAATCTTTTGAGCTGAAAAATCTTCTTATCTGATACGTCTATGCTCATTGATTCTACTGTCAAGTTCTCTTCTATGCACTTGTGGTCAAAAATTATTTTTAAAACATAATTATAGACAAATTTGAAGGAAAAAACAACAAATCGGATGAATCAACATCAATAAATCTGGTGAAGAAACATGTGAACCAGATGAATTAACATCAATAAATCTGGTGAAGAAACATGTGAACCAGATGAATCAATATCAACACATTTGATGAAGAAACATGTGGACCAGATGACTCAATATCAAAACATATGGTGAAGAAAAATAAGAAATCGGTTGACTCAAATTTAAGACATCTGGTAAGGAAAAATATGGACCAGATGACTTAACATCAAGACATATGGTAGTGAAAAAATATTTAGAAGGACCGAATAACTCACTTAAATAGTTTTCAAGAATTTGTGTGGACTGGATATCTTCCTAATAAAAATCTCTTCAAACTCTTTCAACTCTCATTACGGGAAAGGGTTGTGAACGTCTTCTGGGTTGAGGGTAGTTGTGATACCGACGGAGTTTTGAGGGATGGGTTTTGCTTCATGTTCTCTTCCTTGTAATTTTTCGAGGGGTTTCAAGGAATTCTTCGAGGGAGGGGCTTAATGCTTTACATATTATATTTTATCATTTTTTACTTCCTCATTGAATTTCTCGTCACACACACAAATAATATGGTTTACATGCATAAAATGATAAGTTGAATAAAGTCAATCTCGAATGAATCGATTCAAAGCAATAAAGGATCTGATTCAAGATTTCCAGTCTGTTAGAATTGATTCCAAAGCTGGTAGATCAGATTCTGTTATGTTGTTTTTAACTCAGACTTTGTTTCTAACTATTGGATCTGATTCCAATAGTTGTGGATTTGATTCCGTTAAGTTGTTTTTAACTCGGAATTTGTTTTAACCATTGGATCTGATTCAAATAGTTATGGATTTGATCCACTAGCATGTTTTAGAATTATGTTATGCCTCTATTTACTAAAACCAGTTCCAAGTTTAAAGGATATGATTCCATATATTCGATTCATTTAAGGCTTTTTACTCATTTTAATGCTTTATCTAATGTACATATAAACAGTATTTTCATTTTCACTCTTTCATAACTTGATGAGAAAACTCTCAATCAAGAACAAGTGAGATCCAAAACTTTCATAGAGAACAAGCTTTGCAATTTCATTTTCATCTCTTTCAATTCATCACCTTCATTATGTTAATGGAGAATCATTGTAATGATTGTGTGTGTGATGATTGAGTGGGAATAAACATTAGAGACTTGATTTTTCATTTTAAGTTTGTAGTTCTTGTGAGCAAAGATTTGATCTTGAAGGAGTTAAAAGGTTTGAAGGTCCTTGAAGCCAAGAGAAGAATAAGCTATTCTCTATTGATATGGAGTTTTTTTTGGATTTGTCAATCTCTTGAAGAGAATGATTCAAGGCTTATAATTTCAATATTGAGTTAAGATTGGATAATTTATCAAGATTGAAGTCCATCAAAGGTTGAATATTAAGATCTTGATTAAGATAAAAGATAATAATGGTGGTAGCTAGTCGTAATCACCCTAACTTTTCATGGAGCAACAACCAAGGTCAACCAAAACTTGAAGCTGCCCAAATACCACAAGATCCTCCTGGTTTTGCTGCTCCCAACTATCCAGTGGCAAATTAAGGCAACAAACCAGTTGGAGAATGTTCTAAAATCATTTATTCAAGAAACCAAAAATCAGTTTATAGCATAAGGGGTGAGTATAAAAAACCTAGAGAACCAAGTGGGACAAATAGCCACTACTTTGAGCTCAAGGCTTATAGAAACACTCTCTAGCTCTACTGAAACTCCAACAACTACTTTTGGAGTGAAGAATGTGGAAACCTGCAAGGTCATAAAGTTGAGAAGTGGTAAAGAATTTGAAGTATCCTTATCAAGAGGCGCTGAGACCAATGGAGACCTTCTTGAGCAGGACAACTCTAAAGATAAAGAAGGACCCAATGAGGAATCAACATCAGTTGGGAATGATGAAGAAAGTGTTGATAACACTATATATGGCAAGATTTCTCAAACATGTAAACATCCTACAGTCATGCCAGAGCTAGACAGAGAACAGAAGATTGTTCAAGAAAGACCACCACCTCCTTTTCCCCAAAGGATTAGGAAAGTAAAAGAAGAGCAACAATTTGGCAAGTTCATGGAGATACTCAAGCAACTTCACATTAACATACATTTGATAGAAGCCATTGAACAAATGTCAAACTATTCAAAGTTCATGAAGGATATGCTTACAAAAAGAAGAAGAGTGGGAGAATTTTCCATGGTAGCACTCACTCAAGAGTGTAGCCAATTGGTTCAAGGCAAACTCCCACCAAAGGTGAAGGATCTAGGAAGTTTCACCATTCCATGTAACATTGGAGACTCTTTCATTGGAAAGGCACTATGTGACTTAGGGGCTAACATCAATATTATGCCCTTATCTATCTTTAAGAACTTAGGGATAGGCACAGCCAGGCCTACGACTATCACTCTACAATTGGCCGATGGGAGTATTTGCTACCCTCAAGGAAAGATATAAGACGTCTTGGTAAGAGTTGATAAGTTGGTGTTTCCTGCTGACTTCATCATTATGGATTTTGAGGCTGATGAGGACATTCCAATTTTGTTGGGAAGACCTTTACTTACTACGAGAAGAACTTTAATTAATGTTGAGAAAGGAGAACTCACCATGAGGGTGAATGGATAATAAGTGGTTTCAATGTACTCAATGCACTACAATATCTTGATGAAGAGGTTGCTGATTGTTCTATGATTTCCATCTGGGAAGGAATTGTTCACAAGAGTTTACTAAAGTCAAGTGAAGTCTTGACTCAAGCACTGGGAAAGCTAGAGAAAGAAGTTGATTCACAAGAGGGTATCATGTATGGACCAATGTGTAAACCCACTGTTAAAGATGAAGCCATGGAAATTCTGGAAATATCAGCTGACGATAAGAAGCAATGCTCTCCTTCAATATAAGTTCCCCCTAATATGGAATTGAAGCAACTACTTGCCCACTTGCAATACGCTTTTTTGGAGGCAGGGCGGAAGTTGCCTGTCATTATTCTAACAAATTTGAGTGAATAGTAGAAGGTCCAGTTGCTAGATATTCTAAAGAAACATAAAAAGGCTATTGCATGGAAAATTTATGACTTAAAAGGGATCAACCCTACTATATGCATCCATAGGATTTTGCTAGAGGAAAATTCTAAGAATAGCATTGAGAGCCAAAGAAGACTCAACCACATCATGAAGGATGTGGTCAAGAAAGAGATTATAAAATGGTTAGATGCTGGGATTATCTATCCTATTTATGATAGCATATGGGTGAGTCCTATTTAGTATGTACCAAACAAGGGAGGCATGACTATAGTTAGCAATGAGAAAGATGAGCTAATCCCAACAAGAACAGTCACGTGATAGAGGATTTGCATGGACTACATAAAGCTCAACAAGGCCACTAGAAAGAATCACTTCCCCTTACCTTTCATTGACCAGATGCTTGATAGATTGGCTGAGAAAGAGTATTATTTTTTATTAAATGGGTACTTGGGCTACAACCAAATAGCCATAGCTCCCGAAGACCAAGAAAAGACAACATTCACTTGTCCTTATGGCACCTTTGCCTTTAGAAGAATGCATTTTGTCCTGTGCAATGTTCTAGACACCTTTCAAAGGTGCATGATGGCTATCTTTTTAAGACATTATTGAGAGTTCCATGGAGGTATTCATGGATTACTTTTCTGTTTTTGGAGAGTCATTCCAGAATTGTTTAGACAACTTGGACTTAGTTCTGACAAGGTGAGAGGAGAACAATTTGTTGCTGAATTGGGAGAAGTGTCATTTTATGGTCAAGGAAGGAATTGTTCTTGGACACAAAATTTCAAAGAGAGGTTTGGAAGTAGATCAAGCTAAGATAGAAGTCATTGAAAAGTTTCCCCCACTAGTGAACATTAAAGGCATTAGAAGATTTTTTGGGCATGTTGGCTTCTATAGAAGATTCATTAAAGATTTTTCAAGGATCACTAAACCGCTTTGCCAATTGTTGCAGCATGATGTGTCTTTTGACTTCAATCAAGAATGTTTGAGCTCCTTCAACCACTAGAAGAAAGCTATCATCTTTTCCCCCATTATGAAAGTTCCTGACTGGAACAAACCTTTTGAGCTGATGTGTGATGCAAGTGACTTTGTAATTGGTGTTGTGCTGGGTCAGAGGCATGACAATGTGTTTCTTACCATCTACTCTGATAGCAAAATATTAATTGAAGCTCAAGTCAATTACACAAATAAAAAGGAGTTGTTAGTAGTTGTGTTTATCTTTGATAAATTCAAATCTTACTTGGTTGGAACCAAGGTGATTGTCTACACAGATCATGCTTCCATTAAGTATCTTATTTCTAAAAAGTATATTAAGTCGAAGCTTATAAGATGGGTGTTCTTGTTTCAAGAGTTTTATCTGGAGATTAGAGACAAGAAGGGAGTTGATAACCTTATAGCTGACCATTTGTCAAGACTACCAGAGGAAGTGCAAGATCAAAGTACTGGAGAAATCAATGAGTCATTTCCTGATGAAAAACCATTGTTGATAACCGCATGCGTGACTCCTTGGTACACTAAATTTTTTAACTACTTGGTTAGTAGATATATTCCACTTAAATTCAACTCTCAGCAAAGGAATAAGTTCTTTCACATGACCAAAAGCTATTTATGGGATGAGCCTTTTCTTTACAAAAAGTGTGTTGATCAATTTCTAAGGAGATGTGTGGATCAACCAGAGGCACGACAAATCTTGTCTGCCTATCATGAAGCTCCTTACGGAGGACATTTTGGAGGAACCAGAACCGCAACAAAGGTTTTACAATCAGGTTATTTTTGGCCATCTCTTTTTAAGAATGCTAATGATCTTACAAATAAATGTGATAGATGCCAAAGAGTGATAAATATCTCCATGAGGCAAGAGATGCCTCTTACCAACATCTTGGAAA